GCTTCAGCCTGGCAGCGGAACCTGGCCTACCCCCTGGCCATGCTGTGCCTGCTGCTGCTCACGGTGGGTTCACCGGCCTCGGTGGGCATGGGGAGTACGGGTCCTTGAGCATCCCAGGGAGGACGAAGGTGTACGTGCACATGATTGTCGTCCATTGTGGTAGATGCCTGTCAGAGTGCCTGCTTTGTGTCCCTTCCTGTGCTAAGAGCATTAATCCCCATTTTGTAGAGGAAGAAACACAGCTGACTTGCCCCACATCCCACACAGTCATTGGGAAGACACACAGATTGGCCTTGGAATGAGAACAAAGGTTGAAATCTAGTGTCTCCTCTGTACTGGATTAGGACTTCAGGAATAGTTTCAGAGGAAACAGTACCTTTCTCCAGTCTGTTGTGTGTGTGTGTGTGTGTGTGTGTGTGTGTGTGTGTGTGTGTGTGTGTGTGTGTGTATGGCTGGGGTTGGACCAGGCCTTGGCATGTATTCAGAGCTCTGCAGAGTTACACCCCCACCCCATAGGTGTGCTCTCTGGTTAGGCTTTGCAGTCCGTCCATCCAGTACTATCCTCAGAGTGCTGTGTTGCTAGCAGCAGCTGGAGGAGGTCCCTAACGCTGCTTGGACAGTACTCTCACAAACAAAACGCTGAACTAAAGAGAATGCTCTTACCGTGGAGCTCAGAGCACGGCTGTGGGCTGGAGCAGGGGTGATGGGAGCTGGTGCCCTTGCTGCACACAGGGCCTGTCTGTGCTGATTGTGGCCATCCACATCCTGGAGCTGCTCATCGACGAGGCCGCCATGCCGCGGGGCATTCAGGTACAGGGCTCTTCCTTCCCACCACTTTTGGAGAGGACTTAATGGAGAAAGGCTAGGGAAGCTGGATATGGTGTCTTAGGCCTATTATCCTAGCACTTGGAGGCTGGAGCAGGTGGATTGCCACAAGTTTGAGGACAGAATGGGCTACATTGTGTATAATGTCTTAAGAGGGGTGGGGGGGATGCTGGAGAGAGAGAGAAACAGAAGCCGAGGACAGAAGGGAGGCTGGGTAGAGCTGGTGGTACTCATGGTGGGGATGTCCCTAAATCATGCCACCCCACCTCCACAGGATGCCTCCCTGGGCCAGGTCTCCTTCTCCAAACTGGGATCCTTTGGTGCCATCATCCAGGTCATATTGATCTTGTATCCTTCTGGAAATTCCCATGGCTTCTGTTTACCAAACCTGCCTCCCAGGACTCCAATAGACTCCTTGGGAACACTGAAGAGGAGGAGGAGGAGGAAGGGGGAAATCTTCATCTAACTTGGGTTCAGACAAGGAAATATTTGATCTTGAGAACTGGGGAGATAACTCAGTCAGCTAAGTGCATCTGCCTGTAGTCCAGTGCTGGGAGGCAGAGACAGGAAGATCTGGTGGTTTGTTCGAGAGCCAGTCTAGCCAAACTGGTAAGTTCTAGGCTTGAACTAGCCCGTCTCAGAAAATAGTAAGTAAGCTGGCGAGATGGTTGAGCAAGGGCTGGGAGAGGAGTCAGCGGGGAGGGGTATTGATAGCAGCTCTTGCAAGAGCACCGAGTTCAGTTCCCAGCACCCGAATTCAGGTGGCTCGCAACCACCTGTAACTCTAGCGCCAGAGGATCTGACTCCCTCTTCTGGCCTTTGTAGGTGTCCACACTCATATGCACATACCCCACACACGTACACACACTGAGGAAAGTGTTTTTAAAGGATGGCTCAGTAGGTAAAAGTGTCTACCCTGTAAGCCTGACAACCTGGGTTCTACCCCTGGGAACTCACAGTGGTGTGAGAGACTGACCCCTGAAAGTTGTTCTCTGTAGCACACCCTCACACACACCAACGCAACATAATAGTAAATAAAATTAATAATGATAGGAGAAGACGCCCAGCCTTGACCTGTGGCCTCTGCATACACATGGACATTACATACCCCACACAGAAAAATTTCGCCTTGGAAAGAGGTCTGAGGAGTCCTTTCTCTGAGACAGGCAGTTGTTACTTAGAAGCTGGCCAGTTTTTCCCTAACCCAGCGACAACAGTTACCTGATGGTGTCTTCGGTCGTGGGTTTCTACAGTTCTCCACTTTTCCGAAGCCTGAGGCCTAGATGGCATGATACAGCTATGACGCAGGTATGACACAGCTATGACACATGCATGACACAGCTATGACACAGGTATGCTGGGGAAAGAGGAAGCCTCCTGGGTGGGTGAGCACTGGGTGTTGGCAGCCCACCCCCCAACAGGTTTCTCTGTGCAGTCCTGGCTGTCCTGGAACTCAGAGTCGGCCTGCCTCTGCCTTCTGCGTGCTGGCAGCTCTTACTGTTTTGCTGCCTCTTTGTTTTCTGTCACAGATAATCGGGAACTGCGTCTGCCTTCTGGTCCTGAGCTCCGCGCTTCCAGTCTTCTCTCGGACCCTCGGTAAGAACTGGCAGTCGGGAAGAGAACTGATGTGCTTTGTTTTCATAGCTTTAAAAATGAGGTTTGGGGGCTGGAGAGGTGGCTCGGTGGCTGAGAGCACTGACTGCTCTTCCAGAGGACCTGGGTTCAACTTCCAGCAACCACATGGTGGCTCACAGCTGTCTGTAACTGCAGTTCCAGGGGATCTGACACCCTCACACGGATGTGCAGGAAAAACACCGATGCACATAAAATAAAAAATTAAAAAAAAAAAAAAAACAGTTTAAAAACAAACGAGTTTTAAAGGCCAGTCTGGGCTTCATAGGGAGACCCTGTAACAGAACAGAACTTCCAAGGTCTCACTAATCATTCTGCCTCGGCCTCCAGAATGCTGGAATTATGTGATATAACACCAAACACCATACCCAGCTGGGATTTATTTTTTTAAGATTTGTTAGTTTATGTGTGAGTGTTCTGCCTGTATGCATGTTTGCACCTCTTTCATGCATGTACCTGTGGAGGTGCCAGAAGAGGGTGAGATGCCCTGGAACTGGAGATTCCGATGGTGGTAAGCCACTGGTGGCTGCTGGGCACTGACCCAGGTACTCCCGCAAGGGCAGCATGTGCTCTTAACTACTGGCCATCTCTCCAGTCCCAGAATTGTTTTTTCTTGAAATATTTTTTGTATGCGTTGGTGTTTTGCCTGCATGTGTGTCTGTGTAAGGGTGTTGATTTCTGGAACTGGAGTTACAGGCAGTTGTGAGCTGCCATGCAGGTGCTGGGAATTGAACCTGGGTCCTCTGGAAAAACAGCCAGTGCTCTTAACTGATGAACCAGCTCTAGCCCCGGGCTTTTTGTTTTGTTTTTTTTTTTTTTGAGTACGTACTCAAAGAAGGTATTCACGGGTCAGGGTCAAAAGGGGATATCTCAGGGGGTAAAGGCAGTTGCCACCATCAAGCCTCTTGACTGGAGTTCAATCCCTGGAACCCACAAGAGAGGAGAGAACCCACTGTCTCCAGTTGTCTTTTACCTGTGCATGCATGTGCATTCACACACACACACACACACACACACACACACACACACACACACACACACGAAAGAAAAAGTGCTTTGTAATTAATGTGCTCCCTAGTGTCCACAAAACACCCACAAAGAGCTGCTGCCTGCTGTGCAGAAGGAGAAAAGGTAGCTCCATAAAGGCCTACACCAAGCTTTGGGGGCTTGTTTTTGGCTTTGTTTGTTGTATATGCATGTGTGTCTATGTGCCATTTGTGTGTCTGGTTCCAGAAGAGGCTAGAAGAGGGCAGGAGCCAGTCGGTGGTGGCACACTCACACCTTTAATTCCAGAACTTGGGAGACAGAGGCAGGCAGATCTCTTAAATTTGAGGCCGGCCTGGTCTACAGAGTGAGTTCCAGGACAGCCAGGGCTACACAGGGAAACCCTGTCTCGGAAAAAACAAACAAACAAACAAACCTCAAGTTCTTAGTGATCCTCAGCTACATAGCACAGCCAGGCTGGAACACAGGAGACTGTCTCAGAAGAGAGAAAAAAGGGGACGGGGAGATTGTAAGAGTGCCTGGTACAAACAGGTAAATGTGTGTATTGCCTTAATTATTATAGCCCATTGTTTTCTCTGTTTTAAGATTGAGGAAACTGAGGTCCAGAGCATTTAAGGAACTTGCCATGCATCACCCAGCTATGGAGAAGTGGAATTGGGATTGAAAAAAAAAAGGCGTGATGACAGAGTTTGCACTCTAGTCTTTCTTAGTTACTGAACTGTGCACTACTGAAAACTTAATGGCCAACTTGTAGACTCTTAGCTAGGAACCACTTGTCATCCTGGGAACTCCTAGAGATACCTGAGGCTAGAGGCAGCCCTACTGACGGAAAAGATTCGAGTCTCTGGAAGGAGGAACAGGAGCAACTTTAGCTGCTGATGCATTCATTCAGTAGTCCTGAACTGGCCTTGGAATGGGCTTGAGAGTAGCAGTTCATGCACCGCCATGCTAGCCGATGTGATGTTCGGATGTGGCCACGAGGGGGCAGCAGAAAGCTGGGCTCCTCTGAGGAGAGGGCTTGGGGGATTCCCCCTTCTTATGGATTTTGTACTTCAGGGCTGACTCGCTTTGACCTGCTGGGTGACTTCGGACGCTTCAACTGGCTGGGCAATTTCTACATCGTGTTCCTCTACAATGCAGCCTTTGCTGG